CGGCTGGTGAGGTAACTGAATAGGCTTCCAAATGTACACTCACTTTTGTGCATAAGCAGTAGGCGCTCATGTCGACTCCTTGAGGCCAACTTTGTCAAGGCCTCGAGGGAAGCACGCTAATGACTATTAACTAAGGCAAACGATCCGTTAAGGCAGACCAATTTCCACCACCAATCTACTCATTTTCGCTTTAATCATGAGCCCAAATACAGTTCAGCGTAAGTTGGTGTGCCTTCTTGCCATTTTCGAGTGAATTGGAAACTGCACACGTGAAGGTGATTTGAATTTATTACGGGTTCATTTATCATCTTATTGACACACCTCTTCTGACCTAACAGCTCAAGCTGCGGTGACCGTGGCAGAGGCATTATTTGGCAGAGGTGGTCTATTGGTGCTCTTTATGATGTACACCTTCATTATCATGAATATCTGCGTGTTTCAACTCTTCGCTTTCAGTTCTATTCTCACGTTTAACATCTATGGCATTCATGTGAGGGTGAGCTTCTAATACACCATTACTAAGTGCTTTTGAACCTATTAGAATTTAAAGTGAACTATGCGAAAATCATTGCACAAATTGACGATGGTTTGCAGCACTTCCTCAGAAGGAAGCTAGCTGGCAACAATAAGTAGATATTCTAGGACTTGGATTTAAAAGTAAAATGTCTTTCATGATGTAGCCGTTTCAAATGTGTGCACGGACGCCAATTGCTGTTTATTGTGTGGAAAGACACAAGAACCTATCTTCCGGTCAAAAGTCAATTGCGAATGTGCCCCTGTAGCATGTTGTAGACAGTGCCAGATCAACAGAAGGTGACTGCCAACTTACGTATAGAGCGTTTGATGTGCATTTTGCTTCTCCTCGATTAAAGTTCAAGTGCCCACAAACGCATTTTCGCTGTTTTCCCTGACGCATTTCCCTCACCAAACAAACTGAAGCGAATGCAGGATCCACATCACATGGCATTATTTACGCGTTAGCGTCTTTTGCAGCATAATGTAAATTTTGGTATTTGCTGTCTTCTTTGGACGTGACGATGTGGACTTTTATCACCTAAACCATTCTACTGAAGAAGCAGTTGTGCTGCTAAGGGTTCGGTTTTGCCATCGTGCAAATGCGGAATTCACGCCGAATACATAAACTACGTGAAGCGGTTGGAGAATGTGCGCCGCTCATCCATCTTAGTGATCTTCTCTGTTGCTCTTCCGATTGGTCTGCTTTTCAACCTGCTTAATGTGAGCTAGAATGACATGAGCCATGACATTAGGGCTTAAGAATAGAACTATTAAAAGAAATAGTGCGATTTCACTCTGGATGTCCGGATGTAAAATTCATACTTCATTGCATTATTTTAGTTGCACTGTAAGTTCATAGGAGACTTTATACTCGTGTAATTCATGGGGACTTATGCCCTTGTTTAATCTATAAACGATACTGTTTCACTCTTAATGCTGGCAATCAACTTGATTACAGCCAGTTATTTCTGTTGCATAAAAACGCCTCTCCCTCTCTCCCTTTAAGCATAAGATGAATAGTAGTTGACAGGATTTAAGTGTTTGTGGTGACTTAGGCTAACTCCGTAACATTGATGATTGGAATCAATGCACTGGTGTCGGCCACTCTGGGAAGCCTCTTGTACTCCTTCCTTTGGGAAGGAATGACCGCGACGGGGGTGGTGATAGGGACAGCTTTGAGCACCTCCATGGCTGGCCTTGTGTGGGTTCTAATGAGCACTCTCGTTAGATTGTATCCCAACCTCAGCATCGGTAAGGCTGCTTTTGGTCTAATCTGTTCTAAGAGCTAACTAGCTGAGTGAGTTGGTTGGACCACTAAGCATGCAGATGGATCTTTAAGTTGCTACTTACTGAGTTGAGAAATTACTATCCCTTGCTTGGCGTGATTTGTTGCACATGCCAGTGATCAGCTATTTGGCAGCTAAATTAGGGAAGTGAACTGATATTTGAAATCTGTGTAAGATATCGCCTTCTTATTCATCTTTGACTCCATGTTCCATTTGCAGTCTCAGTAAACACAACACGACCTTTTCAAATGAGTCGAATTATTTGCTTACCAAATACAGTTTTAGATTCTTCAATCCAACAGCGACCCCGGATCACAGAATTTATGAAAGAAAAA